AAGCAGCACACAGCTAATTAAGTCACATTATTACTTAGCATGCAGGGCTACAACCTAAGGATATAAAAGAGGAATTATATTAACAAATATAGGATCAACCCTTTAGAAAACAAAATGGATGTCAGAAGATGTATGGGCAAAAGCATTGTGTTGTGCCTCATAGTGCCTGCTTATAGTGTGTGAAAGAATTAATGTGTCACTTCTTAAGGTACAAAAGAAGCTGCTGAATAAACAATGGGAAGCTTACTAACTTCACCAAACCAAAGCAGAAACACTAATTAATCCATTGTTCCTGATGTTAAAAGATGAGAAGTTGGACCACTTGTATTACAACCAATTCACCGGGTTATAAACTAACGACAGCTATAATCTTAATATGAATGCTAGTCTAAAGATCTGGATGCAACATTTCAAACTAATTGTTATGATGAGAAGAGTTCTAACTGGAAGTGTTGCTCCCAGCCTCTAGAGGAGAAGTGTTAGTTATTTTTGGTTAAATAGATGAATTTGGGGGTATGGAAAAATAAGCACACCCGAGTTCAAAAATTTACAATATTCAAGAGACAGAAAAAAATTGTCATCTATTAAAATGCTTTTAAATCAACAAATAATTGTTATCTTCGTTCAAGCTGCTTTCAAGACATCACAAGACTTCTGCTACAAATTCTATTTCAATGAATCTATTTCAAATGAAATAAACTCACAGAAACAAACAAGGAAATTGTAAGTGATGTGATATAAATCTGTGGCACAAATCTTGCAATTTTAGAATCTGAGGCACCCTCCTGTCACATTCATAAATCTAGGAACAGAAATTAGCTATAAAAATGCAAAATCATAGAACTGTACAATTGCAGAGATGGAAAGTAACCCAAGGGTCATCTAGTCCAACCCCCTGCAATGCAGGAATGTCAACTAAAGCATCCATGAGATGGCCATCCAGCCTCTGCTTAAAAACCTCCAAGGAAGGAGAGTCCACCACCTTCCAAGGGAGTTCTTTCTTTCTTTTTTACTTTACAAAGTTATTATTGTACTTCACCACATATTAATCTATTGCACCATTTGTCTCTTAAGACAGAATATGTATACAATTCATCCTCGCTTACCAGCTGGTCTAACGTTAATATACCCAAATTCACCCACCTCTTCCATACGACGATTTCTTTTCAGATTTTTAAAGATCAGTTTCCCCGCAAAGTCATTTTGTTGTGGGAGAAAAGGTCAAATTTATATTTTTTTGAGTATTAATGTAGTTAGATCCAATGCCGCCTATCTTTCTAAATGTGATACAAAGGAATATTCCAAAGTAGCCCAATTTGGACAGTTGTTTTCAGTTGTGTCTCCCCAGAATTGTGTACCTGACAGTAACTATGCTTGGTGATACAATTCTGGGATCCCAAATCCTCCCTCATTGGTATAATAATAATAATAATACTAATAATACTAATAATACTACTACTAATAATTTATTTATACCCAGCCCATCTAGCTGGGCTTCCCCAGCCACTCTGGGCGGCTTCCAACAAAATATTAAAATACAATAATGCATCAAACATCTGGTCCTTCAGGTGCACAGTTACCCCATTCAGGACCAGGGAGTCCTCCACACCTGCCCACCACCTGTCCGCCAAAAACAGTACTTCTGTCTCGATAGGATTCAACCTCAATCTGTTAGCTGCCATCCATCCTCCAACCGCCTCCAGACACTTACACAGGACCTTCACTGCCTTCACTGGTTCTGATGTGAAAGAGAGGTAGAGCTGGGTATCATCCGCATATTGATGGACACCCAGCCCAAACCCCCTGCTGATCTCTCCCAGCAGTTGCATGTAGATGTTGAAAAGCATGGGGGAGAGGACAGAATCCTGAGGCACCACACATTTTTTGCATAGATATTCTTGAAACTGAAGAGCCCCAAAGGCATTTTCTAAACAAATATTTAATTTTGTGAAATTATTTGCTCGGTATGTGAATTATATCTCTTAAGATATAAGCTAGTCTAGGTATTATGTTCATTTTAAGAGCATTGACTTTTCCCCACAGGGTCAGGTTCAATGACTCACATCTGTCAATATCCATTGATACCTCATGATGTATTTTGTTGAGGTTTAATGACGCAAATTTAGATATGTCTTGTGGTATTAATATGCCTAGATATTTAATGTTGTCTGAGAAACCTGGATGGCTTCCTTAACAGGTATTGGTATTGTTTAAACGGTTGAACCAAAATGTTATTTCCTATTAACATCAACTCCGATTTGAGCCCGTTTATAGTATATCCAGAGATATTGCCAAAAACATCCATATTTTGCATTAATATTGGAACAGTACTGTGAGGTTTCATGATAAACAGAAGAATATCATCTGCAAACATTACCAATTTGGATTCAAGTGAGTTATGAATTACAGCAAATATTTCCTTATGCTGTCTAATAGTGCACGCCAGAGGTTCCAAAAAGATATTAAAAAGGAAAGGCGAAAGTAGACCTCTGGATAATATGAAAGGTACAGACATTATGCCGTTTGTCTTAACTCTAGATGTAGGGGAGCAATATAATATGTTTATCCATTTTATAAAGTCTAATGGAAAAACCAAATTTTTGTAGTACATTTTCCATGTATTGTTTGTGGACCTTATCAAAAGCTTTTTCGGCATCTAGAGATAGTATAGCTAAATCTTCATTGTTCCTGTTTAATCTCAGCTAAAGCATCCATGACAGATGGCCATCCAGCCTCTGCTTAAAAACCTGCAATGAAGGAGTTCGTGTCATTTTACTGCATTTTCTAAAGCACCTTTGGCAGCATTTTAATTACATTATGTTGATATTAAGAAAAGGAGGTGGGAATTGAAGTGGCTAAATAGCACAAGCGTTAATTGAATTTGTATCCCACTTGCAACATCCTCCACTCCAAATTTAAGGAACAATTGTGCCTCAGTGGTTCAGATTTGCATGCAGAAGGTCCCAGGTCTCCACTCCTGGAATTTCCAGGTAGGGTCGGGAATATCCCCCAACTGAAACCCTAGAGACAATATTGAGCTAGATGGACCAATATTGAGCTAGATGACTTCACACATTTATAATATACAACTCCATTCAAAACCTTACAAAGGAAACAATAAAAACCACAAAGGAAAAAGAGCCATTGGGGAGATGTCAGGGAGTGTGGAAGACGACAAGAATGAACAGGCTGAAAACACAGAGACTGAACTCAGAAAATTCACAACACAAAGCTTTTCTCTCTCACACAAAGAATGATTCAATCCTCTCAACGTGTTGAAAGGAGAAAGCACATTTCTACATTTTCCTTACACGCATTCTTTAAATAAAATAACCAAATTAAAAAGCTATACCAACAACTGCATTTTAAAGTACTTTACACTTTTTGCACATTGTTCATCTTGTACTGATAGAAGAGGAAGAAAAAGATGAGTGGCTTTAAAAATTCAAATACTGTATAAGAATGCTTTCATTATATTTTATACATTAATTTTATATTTTTACACATATTTTCACTTGCTGGCTTGCACTTAATGTACATTAAGCCTGCTTAATTTTTCATACTGATGATTTCTACTGTGATACAAGATTATAACGCCCCATTCTTTTTTAAACATATGATTACTTAGGTCTCACAAGGAGAAAAATTCTGTAAATTTGCCCAGCAGAATCCAAATATTCTTCAAAAAGCACTGTGTGCATTAGTAAAGACACATGCTTTTTAAAATTATCTTTTGGCTAACAAGATATGAGTGGAACATCCTACAGTGACATTAATTCAGTCAAAAGCATAATTTCATGTGAAAAAATAGCACAGTTATTTTTACTTATAGGGCAGGATTCACCTAACTAGCTCTTCCAATGGAAGTACTGTGCAAGGACTTTCACAGCTTGGCTCTCCTCCACTCGCCCCTCCACACCTGGCAAAACTGACCTGGGGGTCCAGTTGATTGTGGGTATGTTTGCCACTCCATTTGAAAGAGGGTGACAAAAAACTTATAGCAGGGAAGTGTTGGTGGCGGGTGATGATTATTTCTTCCCCAGAATTCCTCACTAAATGATACTATGTCGTAACATAATGTCGTTCTAAGGCTATTTTGGGGAAAATCTCTCCCTCCCCCTCTCCCCCTCACTGGCAACTTTCCCTAGGAAGCCCCATCACTATGCTAGGTAAAATGAGGGACATCAAGTGTCCAATGTCCATGAGGCCAGTGACTTCAGAATGTAAAGAGTAAAATGCACAGCAAATTAATGGGAGAATTGATAAATATTTTAGAAAGATTCAGTCTTCAAATGAGTTTATTTCATAGTTCTTCGTTTCTCCACTGTTTTTAATACTATAGTCCTCAATATAGAAAAGAATGCTGTATTTTCCATTTTGTTCTCTTTGAAACAGATTGTGAGATCTCATTTGGTTTGAATATAGGTGGTAGGGTAAGCATAACCTGTTGTAATGTTCCTAACAAAAGGTCCAGCTCAAAAGGCCACTGAGATTGTATTATCATGCAAAATAATTGGAGATATAGAAGAAACTTGAAGACAGGTAAAGTAGGTTACTCATTGTCAGCATAAACTAAAGCAAGAGACACACTTTCTAAATTATAGGAATTCAATGATGTGAAAATTTTCCTTCCACAAACTGGATGCTTTAAAAATTGGATTAAAAATCCAAACTTAGTAAACAAAATTATGAGATTATGGGTTTGATGATGGGTTGCTTTTTCTATTGAAAATTGATACCAAACACTATTGTATAGTGTATAGTAATCTGCTCCACAGTTGCTAGTATGAACATCTTGAACAATTCACTAGAATTGTTGTTTTTGTCATTGTTGTTCTTACTTGAAAACACTTTCACCCCACGTTTCCTGCAAAGAACTTGGCCAATGGGGGCAGTGATCTCCCTGCCCTCAGAATCTCCATGGAAACAACATTACATCATAATGTAGCATTGTGTACATGGCGGGGGCTGCTTTCCCAGGAATATCTCTGGACTACAGAGCTGGGACACCTCAGTTGGCAGAGCATGAGACTCTTAATCTCAGGATTGTGGGTTTGAGCCCCATGTTGGGCGAAAGATTCCTGCATTGTAGGGGGCTGGACTAGATGACCCTCGTAAACCCTTTCAATTATATGATTATACTGAAGAAGACAAATCACTGCTTGATGTTGTGGCAAAGGGCGTGTCTGTCTGTGATTTAAAAAAACAACAACAAAACCCTGGGCCATATTGTCTTTCCATGTAAGATTGCATCCCGCAAAATTGCTAGAATTTGCCTAACCTATCCCTAAGATTGAGAAAAATCTCCTCTCATAGGAGACAAAAGAGCCTACGAAAGCAGAGAGGGGAATATTCAACTTAGCTTTAACTTAAGTTTTCAGCACATTTACCCAGCAATAAGTTTCATTATATTCAATATGCCTTACCAGTGCTTTTTGTGTGAATGTGAATTTAGACATCAGTGTTTGTAAACCTTAGTTTGTCTGTAATCTCAAATGAAGCAAATGGGTAACACCAGTTAAGAGTTTGAGATCTTAGTAGTAGAATCACTCTGAATCCCGTGTTAATTGTACTGAGTTTTCTGAAGAAAGAGTGCAGGAAGAAAAAGTAAAATTGTTGTGCTTTTTTCGGGAAAACTCTTCCCCAAAATAGTGATTTTAATCTTTTTGAGCTGTTTCCGCTGCTTTTTCCATCATGTTGCCATACACCCGGGTTTCCCCTGACATTTTGCTGATTCGGCAAAATTCCCACGGCGCCATTTTTATACCTGAAACCAGGACATTTCAGGAATCCTCCTGACGTATGGCAAGCCTATGCATACTGTATGTTGTATAATAGATTACAACATGCCGGTAATGATGGTAAATTTATTTTCCCTCACACCTTTTGGCCAGACCCCAGAATGCCTCACAGATCAGTAAAAAAAAAAAACAAATTTCCTTAGGCTTGCAGTCTAAAAGACACAACACAAAAGGGATTGGAAGGGGGGAGGAAACTGAGATATTCTAGTTCTATTAATTATAATTTGGGGGGACCTCACTTTAGAAGCATGACTGGAATAATCAACACTTATGTCATCTGGGTAACAGGTGAAAACTCACCTGGGCTCTTTTGGGTTACTAGGAATTTTGTTGCTCTATGAATGTTTTAAGATGCAGTATTTTCAACGGCAAATTCTGTTGAACTGATTTTATTGCAGCATTGTTTTACTGTTTTATTGTATTACAACCTGCCCTGAAATCAATCAATCAATCAATCAATCAATCAATCAATGCTAACTATGTGAAGATAAAACATCCCAAGAGAATGTGAGACTCTAATAACTCACATGTCAAAATGACAAGGACATTCATTAGTTTAAGGCCAAAAAGGCATTTCATTCCTTAACTGAGGATTCATTATCACTTTCTTTTCCTACTACACTACAATGACATATATATAATTGGTATAAGGGTAAGAAAGTAATGTCATTCTTGTTTTCAGAATGCCAGATTCTGACATAAACTTATTAGAATTTTATTAGCTTTGATAAAAATTAAAGCGGAACAAATTCACATTGTTTCCAGTGCATGACTGACAGTTATAAATAAAGCACATTTCATGAGCTGCAGCATTTTTCAGTAGCTGAATACTGCATAGAAATACAAACGAGGTGTTTAAACAGCTTACTCCAGAGTGCTACAAGAGAAAACACAAGAAATGAGTGGCTTATGGGCTAATGCTTCATGTTTCTCCAGATTTTTTAAAAATGTAACTTACTTTTGCAATTAACCGTATTAATACGTAAAATGAGGATGTTCAGGGCCTAATTCTGCCTGGACACAAATTTGCCAGGGAAAAAAATGGTCCCCACTATCAGACTTGTTAGTCTAGGCAGCAGTACGTCCCAGGGTTCCAAACTGCATGGATGCCTTAGCTGCATGGCCAAAGGTTTCCTTACTTCAGACACGTGCACTGAATGCAGGGATATCAGGGGCAGGGCAAGCCAGCATGTGCAACCTGGGGACCTGGTCTAGTTAAGGCAGTCCTGTGATTCAACAAGTGAATGTTAATTACGAATAAGGCAAAGGAAACCACAAGTAATGTCTGCTTTACAGAGCCTCAAACAGACATCCTGTGTACATACTGATTCTGCCTGCAGTGCTGCAAGACTAAAACCTGTTGAAACATGTTGTATATCACGACTATACACAATGTTAGGTATATTGCTAATATTTGAGTGGATTTTTATTATATGAATCTGCTTCATATGTGTGATTCTTACTTTTCTTTCTTAAGCCAGTTATGGAGAATGGAGAATGTCTCTGACTATGCATGCAATGGCTTTCTACTTAATGGAAAAGTTAACTTGATTTGCTGGCAAATGTGGCATCCTCCTTCTACTATAGAAGACCCTAACTACCACAACAAGTAAGACCAAGTATTTCTTATTTTTAAACAAGCACACAATTTTCTGAAATTTAAACAGCTATTTCTATTCCTGAAAATGAATAGGAAAGAGGGTCCCCCCCTCCTTCCTTCAAATCCTTTCAGAACGTCTTGGTATTTTACATCTGTAATCCACATTTGCTTGACAATGGTGAGTGCAACAATGGACACATCCCTTGTGACAGTTTCCTCTTCTATAACACTTGAGATTTTCAGTGTGTCTAAAATTCCTGTTGTGGACATCCGTCTGTCTCAGGAGAGTGTGTCTTTGGGGGGTAAAGTCAAACTTCTGGAGAATCACAGCGCCTGCTGTGGCTACAGAGCCTGGTAACGTGTAACTGCTGCCTCCCATATTGTTTTTGCTATGTTAACTGCACTAACGTCATGTCCCCGGAAGCAAGCCTGGGCAGCATGTATGGAGGTCCTGGACCGCCCAAATGACAAGACATCTCGTCCTCACTGATGTGGTCCAAAGGAAAGCAGAACAATGTGTTTAGCACCAGCTTGGTTGCAGGAGCTGCCGGAAGGAGGCATACAAGATGCCATCTAACCTTCTCCAGATTTCTGTAGGGTATACTCCTAAGCCTTTTCTTCTCCTGAAGATGTCCCACAAGGCAGTGGGTACTGATTTTTCCTAGGGATTTACTCCTGAAACCTTTCTCACAAATGAGTATAGCCGCAAGACAGTGGAAGTTTTGGATCAGAGTTTTCTTTCTTCCACATGTGCTACCTTACGGGGTTGATGGACCCCATCTGCCCCTAAAAATCCTACCCTGCTACCATTTGTAAACATTATAAAATTGTATATTTTTATCCAGATGGAGGAAAATGTGACTATTTGCACCACTTATGTATTATATTTTTTCCACCAGCATTATTTACATGTTGGTATGGTTCCTGGCATTTTTTAGGGCATACTCAGATGTTACATTCCCCCCCAGGATTCTCCCCAGTAAAGACTAAGAGAAGGCCTTGAGTTTGCACATTCTTCCTCTATCGTTCTTCTTACTGCATGAAAAGCTACACACCCAAACTGGGAAGCATATGTGAATGTATTATTTTAATCTTCCAGACACTGTGATATTAGACCCTCTTTAGACCTGTTCCTGAACTGGGTGTGAGTATATAAAGTAGGACTTCCAGGTTGGCGCCTCTGGCAATGGCGGATTTCCTCCGATCGGGAGGAATCCGCTCCGTGGAAAACAGGGTCTGAACCGCCACGGCGAGGCGGAGACCCATCAAAAACCACAGGCGGGAGAAGCCTGTGGACGTGGGATTCGGCTGGCACCTTTGCGCCCCTACCCGCGGGACACCCGGTTTTCGGGGATCCGGAGCGACGTGGGGTGAGTGGCGCGGTGCTTTGAATCGACTGCTTCTTTCACGGAGTGAAGCCGCATTGCTGTTGCCGGAGAGCGCTGACTTTTTCCTGTGGACAATTGGATTTTAAACTGCCCGTGAGTAGAACGGAAAATTGGATTAAGAAATTTTTTTAATTTGGCATTGAAGCGGGAAGGTCTAAACAGGAAGTCCGCCTTCCGCTTTTTGTAGATAGATTGAAGCAAAAACACGGCAAGCTAGAGTTTAGAAAGTTGTCTGTAAAGGACCAAAATTTCATCATTTAAAATTACTGAACCCCCCTTGGAAGCAGGAGAAGAGGGGGGAACCCTTTTTAGACTGTTTAAACCTGCAGAAGAGAGAGTAAAGAAAGGCAATTTTCCACCGTCTTGAACCTGGGAGCGGGCTGTCAGGACTGACGTTCTGGGGAAGTTCATTGACTATGGACAAACGTTTTTGACAGATAGTTAAAAGAAGAGAAACATATTGATTCCATTGTTCCCCTTCGCATTTAAAAGGAACAAAATATTGACAAAATATCCGAAAAAGGAAAACTTTGTTGCTAGATCTGCTTTAAAAAAAAAAGATGGATACAAAAAGAAATTGTTTCCCCTAGAGGGAGCTTGTGAAACTATTTTTAAAACCGAACTGGGGAGCTTTGCAGCTGTAATAGATTAAGATCGTGGGACCAGACTTCGACCTTGAACAAGAATGTACTCGGAGGCTCTGGTGCTCGCCTTTTGCAAGACAAGTGCTTTATTGGAACAGTTACATGAGAAGATGGATTTGATGACTGTTGCGATCGGAAATTTTGGACAGACAGTGGGTACCTATATAGAACCCACTCAGGAATTAATCCAGGAATGTGCTTTGACAGATGAGATGAAGGAGGAGGCTGTTGCTGGACCCCGGGTGGCAGAGATGGAGGGAGCTGTGGCCCAGCAGGAACATGAGCTGTTGGATTTGACGAATGAACCTGGAAAAAGTCAGATTTGGAGAGATGGAGTTCTGGTTGGCTTGGAGATGGGGGGCTGGATCGACCCCCCTATGCAGGGATGTTTTGATTTTTCAAGTCTGGCTTTGGGCTGGGGGGAGCTCGGAGTTGTGGGGGCCCTTAACTTTGGAGGGGCCTTGAAACATCCCTTCAAATACCACGTGGATTTCGGTGTTGACTATGGAAAAGGGGCTGACCTGTCGAGAAGGGACAAAAATATTGTCAAGCTGGAGTCTCCTCGAGTGAAAGGAGCAGAAGACAAAGTAAAGTATAGGTATAAATATGAAGAAGACCTGCGGAAGGGACATGGAAGAGA